CCTTTATTTATACATTTTTCTACATCCTCTGTTGGACCTCTCACAGATTTCTGATCAATTTATTTTTGTGGGCTCAAGGGGGACAAGAGTCTGTAAATATTTTTTGAAATAAGCTTATTCTGGAAATTCCTGGATACACGTTTTTACTGAATGTTTAAAAAGCTTGTGGAAAAATTTCCTGTGGATGAAGTGGGGCACAGGAGACTAATCACCTTGCAAGGCCCAGGGGGTGTATTTCTCTTAGAAGAATCTGCTGTGTACATTTGAAAACTAAAGTTCTTATATGATGTAATTTATATAAAGAAGCAGCATTGCTTTTCAATATTCTCACCAGAAAAAGAACCTCATGTTTGAATATTAGAAGAAAAAATAGAGGAGACAGGTGACTTGACTGGTCAGTAGTTGAGGTACGGAGAGAAGGTGGGTTTAGTTTACAGCCAAGCTTTACTCATTTAGTAGAAAAAATCATTATTTGGACTCGTTTTAGTAGCTTTGGACACATTTACTTTCCCTGGTAAACAACTGCTCCTTGCCTTAAAGGATTCCTTTAACACACTTTGCTTTGTTTGTATCATCTATCACTCACACATGCAACCTGAGACAACACCAAAACGGCTCGACCCTAACAAAACATGGCTCTAACAAAACATGGCTCGCTCCACAAAGCATACATGGCCTTGGAATTCCTCCTCCCACTCTGGGATACACTGCTATCCACGGCTTGCCAGGGGCAGCGCTGCTGGGGAGACCCAAACATCCAACCTCAAAGGGGATGAGGAAAGAGCACCAGAACATGCTCGCAGAGGCCCCAGGAGAAGCTGGGCTGTGTCAGGTCACCCGGGAGAGCAGATCCTGCCTCTGTGCTCAACTAAATCCTCTGCTGGAAAACAATCACAGATAGCCAGGGCGTTTTTAAGCCCAGAGCAGAGGGATGTGAAGCCCCGACTTTGCTCTGCTGGCACCCCCCGGGTGTGAAGAGCAGATACTGGGACACAAAGGCTGGTCCCTGCGGTGGGAAGGGGAGAGCATGTCCCATGAAAGGGGGGCACGACCCAATGGGGGGGGTGCCTCCATTCCATGGGGGTGCTGATCCAAAGGGGAGCACATAAATCAGGCTGTAGGGAGTCGCAGGACCCAAAATGGGGTTCACATCTCACACGGGATGAGGGGGCAACAGAACCCAAATCGGGGATCCACACAATGGAACAGCCATGACCCAAAAAGGGAGCACTTACATATGGCAGGGTACACGACCCAAAGGGGGGTCCACATCTCACACTGGGACAGAGTGGGGTGGGAACTGCAAGCTGGGGTTCACATGGGGGAAGGACCATGACCCACGAGGAGGGGGCCTTACACCACACACCAGGGGGGTACACGACCCAAAACGGCCTGCAGTGGGGGGCATGAAGCAAAATGAGGTCCGCATCTCACACCGTGGGGAGCACGGGGGGAGCACAACCCCAAGCGGGGGGTCCACACCAGGGAAGGATGACGAGCCAAAAGGGGGGCATTTAACATTTCGCACAGGGTAGTACACGACCCAAACAGGGGAGCCTACACTGGGGGGCACGAACCAAAACGGAGTCGGCACCTCACACCTGAGGGGGGGCTGTGGCACAGGCCAAAAGGGGGGGCTCACGCTAGCAGAGGAGGGGTCCTAGACCGAGAAGGGGGGCTGCATCCCACGCAGCCCCCGAGCTGAGGACCCCAAGGGGACTCTGCCCCCTCGCCCCCCCCCCGTCAGTTGCGACACGGGGGGCGCGCGCCTGGCCACGCCCCCCACGGCGAAGGGGGCGTGGCCTGCGCGGCTCGCGCAGCGGGGGCTCCCCGGGGAGGGGGCGTGGCCTCTGCCGAAGGGGGCGTGTCCACAGGGGCCACCGGCGGGGGGGCGTGGCCCCCCTCCCCCTCACCGAGCCTGGGGGGAAGGGGGGCGCGAGGCAAAAGCGACCGCGTCCGTCCCCCCCATCTCCCCCTCACATATAACATGGCCGCAGGCCTTTCCCACCTGCGCCACATGGCCGCTGGCTTTCCCGCCCTCCCACCGCGCCCGCAAGCGGACCCGCCGCGCCGCCGGTACGAGGCTGAGGGCCCGGCGGGGGGGGCTGTCGGCACCTACCCGAAGCCATGGCGGCGGCGCTGAGGGGGCGGTGGGAGCGGAGGGAACGCAGGGACCGACCCGCCCGCCGCGCCGGCCGCGCGCACACTGAGGCACCCGCAGCTCGCGCGGACTGCGGGGCCCGCCGGCCAATCGGCGCGCGCGGCGCCTACCACTCGCCGCGCGGCTGAGGGGGATGGGGAGGGACGGGGCTGAGAAGGGCCGTGCCAAAGTACAGCGGGCGGGGGTGGTGGTGCTGTGCGTGTGTTTGAGGGCTGTGCGCGCCCACCGGGAATCGCGTAAAAGGGCTGAATTAGTTTAAGTAATACATGGTCAGGGTGCTCACGGGGAGATAATGGGGCTGTACGCCCCGGCTTTTCGCCCCATCCCTGGCCTCCCTCCCCCCCCCGCGGTTCCCTCGCAGCGCCCCGGTTGTGCATCACCGTTTGTGGCAGATGCTGAATGGAGTTTAAAGGAAACATCCGAAATCTGGGTTCTAAAGGAAGGGAAAAAATAGTTTGGCAGGGTTTCTGGCTATCTTAAAAAAAGGCAAATATCAGCTTGGAGAATGCTCTAAAGAAAGGGGTCATGAGCTTGGGAGCCACTTCTATGAAACGCGAAGGTTTGCTTCAGAGAGGAGGAGTGATGAACTGAGAAGACAGCAAAAGCAACGCTGATTGTTTAATCTGATTATTTTTACGAGTTGTATTTCTTGTTTCAGATCAAGCTGCCTTCTTGGGGAAGTTGGGAAGTTAGCAGTTGCACCTTTCTGTCTAGGGACAGTGTGCACATGCATCAGCTAGGGAACAGCAAGGTTTTACCCTGTTTTTATTTTCAAAGGCAGTGAGGAGCCTTCTCTGATTTCAGCTGAATGTTTTGAGCAGATTTGCAGAGAAGTTGGGCTGTTTCTTCCCCCCCCGGGCATAGCAGGAGGAGGCAAATCCCACTGCCACAGCCGAAAATAAGTTTCTGCAAAACAGGCAGTGACTGGAATGATTAATTGAAAAAAAAGGGAGGGGGGGTGTGAGTTGAGCTCCCTGCCTGTCTTTTGGTTTCTTCTTGAGAAACTTCATCTCCTCCAGCCACAACATTTTGTCCTGTGCCATAAGCCTTCCTGTGACAACCTGGGACCTCACAAAGGCTGCCTGTGCAATGCTGGGATTAGGGCAGATCCCAAACAATGCTCCATAGCCAGGGGAAGTGGAGGGATCTTTTGCTCTAGGAGAGCCTCTCAGTGTTTGTGCATTCCTTAGGGACTGAAGGATTGTCATAGATGGAAACTGGAATTAGTTGAGAGTTACAAGCTCATGTGTCTGTCTGTCTGCTGATAGATCTGTGCTGTGCTCTCCTGTGGCACCCATTCAAAAACTTTGAAGCTGGGATATGGAAAAGACATCAGCCCTTGAACCCTCTGCTCTTCCTGTTTGGCTGGAAAACAGCAGAGTTCACAGAATCACAGAATCACTGGGGTTGGAAGGGACCTCTGGAGATCATCCAGTCCAAGCCCCCTGCCAAGGCAGGGTCACCCAGAGTAGGTGACACAGGAACGTGTCCAGGTGGGATGCATGGTGTCAACAGATTTTCTCCTTTTGTGCAAATATAGTCTTTTTCTACCACAATATCCACAGCTCCATCCCCAGATCTCTTCCAACTACAAACTCAAGAAGAGATACAATTGTTGTGGTCAGTGCTAACCATGTGTGTAAAGCAAGCCATGACCACAGCGAAGGATTTCCCTTGAAGGGATCAGATTAAGTTCTCCCTACTCCATTATCTATCTGTGACACCTGCAAGAACTTTGGTATCTTCATTTGTAAGCTGCCAATTCCTCTCCTAAATCTGACTAAAACTGGCCAAATAGTTAAGCCAATATTGCTGGGAAATTGGAGACAGACACAGAATATGAGCCTCATGCAGGTTCAGCCTGGTTTGAACACACAGATGTGGAGGAGGGCTGTCCCTCCATTTGCTCCAGCACAGGTGGGAAGGCGCATGTGTGGTGCGGACACTCCTCTCCATCTCCATCTGTCACACATGAAAGGAAATGCTTGTTCTGTGTCCAGTTCCATGGTTCAGGAAGGTCATTGAGGGATTGGAGCAAGTCCAGGGAAGGGCAACGAAGCCAGTTGAAGGGTGTGGAGCACAAGTCTGATGAGGAGTGGCTCAAGGAGCTGGGGGGCTCAGTCTGGAGAAAAGGAGGCTCAGGGGAGAAATTCTCTCTCTCTAAAACTCCTTGACAGGAGGCTGGAGACAGATGAGGGTCGGGCTCTGCTCCCAGGCAACCAGTGACAGGATGAGAGGACATAAGCTTAAGCTGTGCCAGGGAAGGTTCAGGTTGGACATCAGGAGGAATTTCTACACGGAAGGGGTGATTAGACATTGGAACGGGCTGTCCAGGGAGGTGGTGGAGTCACCATCCCTGGAGGTGTTTAAGGAGAGAGTGAATGTGGCACTCAGTGCTGTGGTCTGGTTGACAAGGTGGCGTTCGGCCACAGGTTGGACTAGATGATCTCACAGGTCTTTTCTAACCTCACTGACCCTGTGATTCTGTGATTCCCAGCAGCCTGACCCCATGGTGCGGGGAGCAGCGGCTTCACTGGCCTGGCTGGGCCTCCCGCACCTGAGGGCGGCTGCTCATGGGGAGACCAGGACCCAGCTCGGGTAGGCTCCCAGCGAGACCTCCCCACGGGGATATTTTCCCCTTCTGGACAAGTTAAAAACCCCACTAATTAAATAAAAATTCAAAAGGAGGCGGGGGGGAAGAACCCCACCCCCGCGCGTCTCCATGGTAACGAGCAGCGCCTGGCGTTGCCATGGTAACGCCCAGGCCTTCCGGTGGCGACCGGAAGCGGCGGGCGCGCGGGGTGGCAATGGCGGCGCCCAGGGCCTCGCCGGCCGCCGCCGCCCTCACGGTGCTGCTCTCGGTCGGGGCCTCCGCGCCCGGGATGCTGCAGGGTGTCCCCGCCGCCCGCTCCGCCGCCGCGCTGCGTCCCACCGCCCTGCGCGACGGGGAAGGTGAGCGGGGGCCGCCCGCGGGGCAGCCACTGCCTTCTTGGTCCCCCCTGTCTTCCCCCCTCCGTGGGTCCCCCATTTCAGACCTTCCCCAAATCCCCGACGGAGCCTTTGTGTCCTCGCATTCCCGGTCTCACTCAAATCTCCACTGGAGCTTTTGTATATTCCCTCTCCGGGCCATCCCCGCGTCCTGCTCTGGACCCCTTGGTCCCTCCTCTCAGCCCCCATTTCTGGGCACTTCCTCAAGCCCCTCCCTGAGCCCGCTGCTCCCCCTGTGTCCCACTTCTCCGTGCTCCTTTTTCCTCCCGCTTTCCATGCTCTTCCCTGACCTGGGCATCCATCTCAGCCCCTTTATGTTAGGCTGCTCCCCTTTACCCCCATTTCTGACACTAGGCACAGTATGAGTATGTTTCCAGGATCTTGAGGGGTTTGCTTTCCTCGGTGCCTCTGGTATTTCCAGGATGATTTTTATCACACTTTTAATTCCCGTGTCCTAGCTCACCCCTGTGCAGTGATTTCCTTTAGCAGTGTGTGGTTTCTCTGAGCTGATGGGTGAAATCCACCATCTCCTCACATTTCTCCACGGGTTGTTTTGTTTTTCACTGCTGTTTTTCTGTCTGTGGGACTGAGGTTGGTGGGAGGGAGGTGGAGAACTCTTTGCCTCCATCCTTGCTGAATGCCCAGGAGAACAGCTGTCCAAAGGGCCTGGGAGCACTTCTGAGGTGTGAGGTTTGATGAGGAAAGTCAGCCTTCCAGCAGTTTAAGGAGTGGGTTTTTTGCCAAAATCATTGTTATAATAACATCTATTTTTATGTCTCTTGCCTTCTCTTTTAATGAGACTGAAATATACTACAGATGCTGCTGCTTTTTTCCAGGCAGCTTCCCAGGAAGCAGCAAAGAGTCAGCCCATATGTTTATGACACCCAAGATAGCACTTGTTTTACTCTGTCTTGTTATTTATGCCTGGTTTTAAAGGCCTTGAATTCCTTCTTTTCTACACCAGCATAGAAAGGAAAGCCATTAATTAATCCCGTGGGCTCTCTCTCCCTCTGCTCAAGCCTGTGATTGTGGTTCAAAGCAATTAAAAGCTGTGTCTGTCTGTGCTCAGTTCACAGGTTGGTCACCTACGTCTTTGTCTATGAAGACCTGGTCTCCCTGACCTGCGGTGCCGTTGCCATCTGGTACTTTGCCGGCAGCTTTGAGAGGAACGTGGGCACAGTGAAGCACTGCTTCCTCACCATCACCTTCTCTGTGCTCTCTGCCCTCCTCTACCTCCTCCTGGAGCCCCTTGTCTCCCGGGTGTGGGAGGTGGGAGATGCCAAAGGATTCCTGCCAGTGGCTTTCGCCATGCTGGGTGTGTCCACCACCCGCTCGCCGATGAAGAGGACTCTGGTTTTTGGGTGCAGGGTTCCAGTGGTGCTGGTGCCCTGGTTTGTGCTCTGCGTGGCGTGGTTTATCCCCCACTCTTCTCTCCTGGGTAACCTGTCTGGGCTCCTGGTTGGGGAAGCCTGTATCCTTTCCGAGTGGGAAGCTCTGAGCCAGAGTGGGATCATTGGTTCGCGATGGGAAGGGGGTGCTGTGGTTCTTGTTCTTGCTTTTATGGTGTTTCCATTAAACCCTCCCTGGCTTTGCTGTGTTGGTTTTTCACCTCATTCTTCCGCTTCCCCAGTGACTTAAGTGCGCACAGAGAATGTGAAGTGAGAAGGGCGATGGTCTGTGAACGTGGTGCTGGGCAGAACTGGGAGAATTCTCCAGGAAAAGTGGTTTGTGGGGAGAGGAGGATTGTGTGTGGCTGTGTTAGAAGTGACTGTGTTTTGTCTGCAGACCTCCTTAACATGCTCCTGGCTTCAGATGGTCTTGGCTACTGTTTCTGCCTGGATTTTCCGGAGTCAGTGGGCTCTAAGCTGGACCGAGTGTTCCCTTTCACTCTGCTGAAGAGGATCCCAGGGCTGAAATACATGCCAGGGTCCTTAGCAGAGAGAAGAGCCTCTGACAGCACCAAGTAAGTACAGGAGTTCCTGTGGGAGATCTTACAGGGGAATTTTGAAGTGTGAGTGGAGGCTCTAAATCACCTTTAAAAGCTGGATTGCATTTGTTGAGTTCATACTGTGGGTGTGGGAGGGGGCAGAGTCACCCTTTGATGTTACACTGGTGGCATTACTGGGACTAATAAATTACCACTCATTAACTCAACCAGGTCTTTAGTGAAAGCTGAATGGAGGTGAAAGACCTCTCCTTTGCTGCAAGGGCAGTGTGTGTACCAATGCAAAGGTATTGCAGCTCTGGCTGACATGAAAGTTAAGTTGTGTAACTCTGCCCTGGAATTAGGGTTTAAGGCATTTATTCCTGGCTGTGTGGCTCCCTAGGGTGTGATCCCTATCTTTATTTGCCCCACCTCGCCTCCCAGGAATGCTGTGAAGTGAGTTGTGTCCAAACCTATGTAGGAGCAGAGCATTATAAATCAAGGGTGTCACTTAAAAAGCTCAGTGTAGACCTTTTGGTCTTTTTTAGCCTTTCAGCAGGTTTTCAGTGTCAAGGCAATGTTGCTTTACTGAAAAAAAACCCTTGGGGCCCATGGCTGACGTTTAGGAGTGGTTTTAAATTTATGTATTATCACAAGCCATGAGAACTCACTTGTATTCTAAAAAGCTTGAAAATGTAGGTCAAATATTTACCTGTTCTAAGGTGCCATTTCAGCTTCACAGAGGAAGGGTAGTTTTCTGTTAAGGGTTAAATTCTATGTATTGTTTAAGCCCTCAGCTCATTGTAAGGCTTTACTTGAAGTGGAAGCATTCCCAGGTGTTTGCATTGCTCTCACCCGTGGGGAAGCCATAAAACCAACCCTTGTCTGCAGCAGGAGCGTCCCTCAGGTCCATCAGGGCACTCAAACATGGGAGTGCTTGCAGGGAGGGCAGGCAGATCCAGCAGCATTTGTGTTTTTAGTCTCTCCTTCCTGTGCAAGTGCAGCTTTTGGGAGGTGGGACTGTCTCCATGCTGAGCCTGTGCCAGCATCAGTCCAATCCTGCTGTGCACAGCACCTCAGGGTCTAAACCTGCTTCCTTTGGTGAGGTGACACAGACTGTTGTGACATAAAGGTACTTACATGTATATTTGACTATCCAACAGGGCGTGGGAAGGTGTTTCTAGGATGCTTCCACTGCTGCAGCTAAATTTGCATGTCTGTGTCTTAGATACAACTTCTGTATGTGCTTCTGCAGCTTCATGTTGATTATTTTGGTTTTTTAATAATTAGGGATTCGTTTTCTTTTTAAATTTTCATAAGATTCAGGCATCAACTTGCCACCAGGCAGGACACGTTTGTAGGAGGTCCAGGCTTTGGCATCATGTTTGTATCCACAAATAAAATTAAAAAAAAACCCAACCCAAAATCAAATTAATAATTTAAACCCAAAAACCTAAGCCTGAAACCCCCAGGCTGAGCCAGTCTCTTGTTCTTGCTGGGAATCTGGCAGTCATGGATTCATGAATATTGCCTTGATTCTCAGCACTCATCTGCGTGTTGTGCGTGGGCTGAGCAGCACTCCTGAAGTCCCAGAGGCTTCAGCTTCTAGGCAGATTGCCTCTCTCCTGTTTTGGCTGGATGAGTCATCCCTTCTGCTGGCAAAGACTTTCTAGCCCTTGCCTCTGAATAATTAATTTAATTTCTAACTCTCCCCTCCTTCTCTTTTTTTGCTTTATACTCCGGGCTCTTACTCGCACCAAGGGCCTTTATGTTTTCTTCATAAACACTTGGCAGCTGTGACTTCTCCTGATTAATGCCTTGGCAGATGTGTCCCTCACAGGGCAGGGAGGATGTGCCCCTGAATCTCAAAGCACATTGAAGTTTGGCTTTTGTGTATTCCTTGCACAAAGAGTCTGGAGCCAAGAACCACGCTTGTTGGGTGAGGAAATGGTGTGGGTTGGGAGTGGGAACATCTGTCCTGGGAAGCCAGTAAACCTATTTTTTACTCAAGTGCTGCTTATAATAAGAGCTTCTGTTGTAGTGAATCCCTCTGATGGATTGCAGTGACCTCTCTGAGCGCTGGTCAGGAGGAAATCAACCCCCAGGGCACTTCCAGCGCTAATTAGGCAATGCCAGTTCTGAGCACTGTGTAACCTTCTGTTTTCTTCCTGCCCAGGATTAACCCTGCACCAGGCACTTACCCCACCCAAAGCTACTGCTGCCCTTCGCCTCCAGCTCTTCCTGCTTCCCAGATGCAGCATCCCAATGCTCAGAGCCAGGGGTTTCATCACAGCTGCGCTCCGGGACGTGACCGTGTGCCGGGACATGAGGGATTTCAGCAGGGCCACGCTGCAGGACACAGCCTCAATTCTTCCCACTGCCAAGCCAGAGGTGCCTGGGGAGAGTGTTGTGGGCAGGCCCATGTGGGAGCCTCCCCAGGACAGCGCTGCCAGCTGGGCACGTTCTGTCCCCCTCAGCGTGTGTGCCCGACTGACCCACAGCCACCTGCAGGCCTGGGCCCCCTGGCTGGTGCTCAGCAAGCACCCACAAGGCCTCCTGTTGCAGCTGAATTTACCAGAGTCCAAGTGTACTGATCCTCCAGGGAGCATCAGGACTCACAGAGGGGCAGGACCACTCTGTGATGATCACACAGCAGTGGCATTGCTGGCATCTTTGCTGTGTCTGGGGTGACTGTTGGAATGCATTGGTAGCTCCAATGTAAGCCATTTCCTTGCTCCCTGGCACAGGGAATACAACTGAATTGTATTTCTTTTATAATTGTTTTTTTACTTTTTGATATTGCTGGGGGTGGGGACTGTATCAGCTCTGTGCACTTCTCATCCTTTCGAAGTCTTTTTTCATTGCTGCATTTAGCAGCTGGCTTTTTCCACGCTGCCACTGGAGTTCCAGTGCACCAGCTCCCTGAGTCAAGGTGGGAATCTCACTGTCAAAACACTGGAGTTTAACTGGGCTGCAGCAAAAAGGACGTGTCCCATTTACACTCCTGTCTTGTTTACAGGTGTGATGTAGCAAGGACCCAAAAGAATCAGGAAAGCCTTAGTTTATAACTTAATATTTGAGTGGAGGAGGACAGATGTCTGTTCTACTGGTGACTTCCCCGCTAAAAGAGTGCTGTGAATAGGGCTTGTTAAACCAAGGTGGGGCAAGAGGATAGAACACAGAACACCCTTTTCTGCCACCACAAAACACAGCCCTAAAATGCTCAAAGTCCTTCTTAGCTGCAGTCTGTGCCTGCATCAACATGTTGCCTTCATTTTAGGATAGCACTGCACCAGCTCAGCCTGTGTCACCAGCACTTGTCGATAAGGCCACCTCAGATGCATGGGAAGTAGTGGGAAACTCTTCAGTAATGAATTTTGGCCATTTGTGGAGCAAATGTTTATAAATCCAAGGAATGTAGCAGTGCTGTTGGGGGTGTTCACACTGCTCAGCATTAGAAGTCTCACCCACCAATATTAGCACAATCTCTCTCTGTTTTCTTGGGAGCTGGTGGGCAGGTGTGTGGGAGAGGGGAGTTTTCAGCAAAGGATTCGGAGCAGGATGCACTGTTTGGTGCGTGTGGCTGTAATGAAGGAGTTTGGTTGAGTTGCCAGGATTTGAGCGTTATTCCCAGCTGTGTAGCTGCTGCCCTGTGCCATGCCCAGGAGGAATCTGCTGTCTCTGTGTCTGTAAATCAGCCAGGATCTCAACTATTGCCCTCAACTCTGCTCAGAGTTTTGTTGTGTTCCAAAAAAAAAAGTGGTGCATGAAGCACAAAATGCCATTACTGCTCCTGGAGATGTTCCTGCAGTGCCTCACCCGTCCCCAGAAACACAACAGCCTCAGGGCTCCTCTGTGCTCCCAGTGAGCCTGACCAGAGGGAGCTCTGGCAGCTGCATGTTCCAAAGCAAGTCCATGCCCCTTTGATTTTTCCATCATCAGTGTCTGAGGAAGGCTCTTGTTGCTGTACAGCCACTTCTCTAGCAGGCTGGAGTTGAGGGCCTTGTCCCTGATTGTTTCACTCCTCCACGGGATCGCAAATGGAATTGACTTCATGGTCCTGTTTTTCCTGCTGACAGCAATTGCATTGTTATGTGTTTAGTGTGGAGCAAGAGCAGGATAAGGAGCTTGTTTGGAATTTAAAAGCATGCTTTTAATACCAGGAAAGAAATGCGAGAGATAACATTGAAATGTTGATACTCCACTCTCTGCTAGTGCCTTGATTTTTCCTCCTTGTGAAATCCTTGCCTGTAAGCCTATGAATTTTATCACTGATTTTTCGAGAAGGGCCACGAGCATTGATAGCAGTCATGAATGTTGTATACCTCCAAATTGGGAACTGGAAATAGAATCTGAAAGACAAATTGCTGTGGTCTCTGGGTTTGCTTTCAAACGGGGAGGTGGAGCGTGCCCCTCCGGGTGGTGGGCTGGGCACAGTGGGATCTATGGGGCGGGATCTGTGGGATGGGCTGATGGGTGCCAGCCCGTGTCAGGTTGGGGCTTTGGACGCGCACTGGGGACAAGTGGAACTGCACCCTGGAAAACGCTGGAAGCCGGTTATTTTTCCTTTCCAACTCTTATCAGCTGATCTGATGAGAGATTCGCTCTCCCTGCAGAGCTGTCAAAGGGATGGCGCCTTTCCAGGGAGTAGTTTCCTGGTTTCGTAGTGGCAGAGGAAGCCCTGGCCTGTAGGAGTCACTGCCAGCAGCCAGAACAGCCCCGATCCCGGGGAACAGACAGCAAACCTCCTTCCAGGGGGTGAGCTGGGCCCTTTGGCCCCGGCAGTGGAGGGACATTCCTGCCTGGGAAGGAGCAAGCACCAGCCACTAACCTTTCCATACTGGGACAAGACAACTGCCACAGCCTTCCAGGTGAGCAGGACCTGCCAGATAGGGACAAACCCACAATTTGGGTTTCTTTTTTTCCTTCTGCTCCCAGGTCTTTTAGGAGCTTCTGGGTGACCTTGGCAGGTTACTTGGTCTCTCTGATCTCTGCATCTTCCACCATGTCCCCAGGGCTGGTCCAAGTCCAGCCGCACCTGCTTGTCCAGTGCAATGTGTTGTACCTTCAGTACCCTTCAGATGGATGTTTGTGAAGATTTATTTTCTAGTGAGGTTTGGTCCCTGCTTTCCTGAGGCAGCTGTTTCACAGTGAAACGCTGTTTTATAAATGAGCCAAGGACCTTCTGCTTCTCCAGCAGTGGAGTCTGAGCAAGTCCCAGCTCCCCAGGGCTGGTGGCAAACTCAGAACTCCTTGCCCAGGGAAGGGAAGTTGCTGGGAGGGAGGGAAGGTGTTGGGATGAGACATTTCCAAATGTATTTAAGGCTCCGAAGAGGAATTAAATTTGGGAGAGAGGGAGGTAAAAGTCATCAGCTCACTGGGCTTTGACATTTGCCTCACTGAGCTCCCAGCAATGTTACTCATTGCACGTTGCAGTACCAGCTCGTTTCCTTGGTGGGGAGACAGAGAATGGAAGTTCCTAAAGCAGGAAGAAAAAAAAAAAAAAGAAAAAAAGTCAATAACCTCCCAGTTCAGCCCGGGATGGCTGCCCCCGGGAACGTGCTGTCCCTGGAGCTTTGTTGCTCTGTGCCCCTGGGGCATTCCCAGTAAAGGCCACTTCATTCAGTGCCAGGATTGCATCTGCCCCGGAATCAGGGTGTGCAGAGAGTCCAGAACACCCCTTGGGTTGACCCCCTGTCCTCAGAGGGTCACTGCAGAGTGACAAAACTCTGGGGACAAGCACTGGGAGCTGAGCCAGCTGCTCCCTGTGCTTGGGATAGTCATCCTGATGCAGGAAGGATGCTCTGGAAGAGCCCAGCTCCGTCCTCTGCTCTTCTGCACCCACTATGGTGCAAGAGGAAAGGCATGGGGGGTACATGAGGAAAGCAGAACCGACTTGGACCTGCATTGCTGCCCCATTAAGGAGCAAGGGGGGGGTCCTGCAGAGTGGGGAGGCCTGGCAGGAGACATTGATGCTGAAGGAAAAACAGGTGTGTTCCTTTGCTTTCCTGTCCCTCATTCATTCGTGGCAAAGCATACCCATGGAGTTACCCTGACTGGGGACCAGGATCCCTGTGCCAGGGCCAGGACTCTGCCAAACACCACCTCCATGGCTGTCCCATGGGGCCCCAGCCTGTTTGCTGGCACTGTTGAGGGTTCTGTGGCCAAAAGCTCAGCCCCAGCCTGTGCTGGGGACAGAGGAGAGTTGGAGAGATGGGAGAAATAGGTGTGGTGACAAAGCAGTGACCCAACAGGTCCCTGTGGGCTGGCAGAGCTCTGCTTTTTCCCCCAGGGGGAGTCTGGGCTGGGTGTGATGAGACCCCAGCCCCTTCCCTGCTGGCACAGAGCGGGCCAGGCTGTGCTATAATGCCTGTTCCCAGTCCAGGCACCCGATGGGATGACCCCAAACCAAGGGCCTGCACTGTCCTGCCGTCCCGTCAGTGCCACTGTGATCTTTAACCCGCGGCCATTCACCCCACAGGGCACAGTCACAGACCAGAGCCACTCCAGGGCAATTCCATGGGGTTGATCCCAAAACTGATGCAGGTGGCAGTGGTGCCCAGGTGACCTTACACCCCTCTACCCTCTGCTTGGATGCCATCATGAAAGGGGGTGTTCCTGCAGCTCTGGGCACCGCTGCCTCAGAGCTGGTGCTTTTTGGGTCTGTGCCCCCTCCTCACACCCCTCGTGGCCCCCCACGTGCCTGCCAGCCCCAGCTTGGACTTTGCAACTTCCCTGAGGGTTTTATTGACTCTGCAGTGAGTGCCAACACAGTGACAGCGTCAGAATGGTGACTCTGGATGTACCAGTGCCTGGATGAGGGAGGGGACACAGTCCCGTGTGACCCCACATGGCCTGGGGCTGCTCAGTGGGGTCAGGGCGAGCCGTGTGCCTGGCTTTGGCTGTGACCCAGCTTCCCAAAAAAAGGAGAGAGGAGAGCAGCGGTCCCTCCGTGTCTGTGGGACCCGGGGTCTGGTGGTCTGGGTTGCGAAACGTCCCGCTGGGACTGCCGGGGATGTTTCCGGAGCTGCTTGTGCAGTTCCCTGGTGGTGGCAGCATGAGTGCTGAGAGAAAGGCCGCCCCAAAACATTTGAAACATGCGGTCTGCGGTTAAATCAGGAGCATGTGCTTGTGCTGGCTGTAAGCTGGCTGGGTGGGGAGCCCCCCCGGTCCCAGGGAGGGGAGGCAGTGATCAGGTTCCAGCCTCTACCCTGGGGTCCCCTGACGCCCCTTGGGCCTTGCACCAGGGCAGGGGCCTTGGGAGGTTCTGGGGGGTCCCACAGCAGCACCACCATGTGCACACAGGCACCACACGTGGCCACAGACAGGGTTCTTGGGTGTGGGGGTCCTGGCTCAGGCACAGCCTGTGTCCAAAACTGACCCCAGCCCATGACGCCACCGTGATCCCAAATGACTACACCATGACCCCAGCCCTGACCTTAAACCCACCTTGACTGCAAACCGGACCTGAACTCTGACACCACTTCTGGCCCCCACCCTCATCCCCCAAATACAACGTTGGCTGCACTGCTGCCTCCCCACCTTGCCCCAACCCTTGCCCCAAACCTTCCCGACTCCCCACCTTTCCTCCCGCCCCGCCCCAGCGCTCCTGTCCCTTTAAGACCCCGCCGTCCTGGGGCCGTACCAATGCGCCTCCGCAGAGGGGGGATCTCCTTTGGTAGGCGCGCTCGCAGCCTATTGGCGGGCAGCAGGGGCGGAGCGTGTTCCCCCCGCGCGTATGGCCGAGTGGTGCGGTCCGCGGTACGTGCCGGCCGCGCCGGGGCTGCGGGAGCCGCCGGGCACAGAACGGGCCGGGCCGGCGGTGGGTGCGGGGCTCCGGCGCGACACTGGGGACTGGCGGGGTACTGGGATCGTGTGGATGAGGAGGGGTGGGCTCCGGGGTCCCCTGTGCCTGAGGGGGGGCTGGGCTCCGCCACTAGTGTCTTCTCTGGTGGGGAGGGGCGGGTGGGCATCCGCTGATGGGTGGGATGGGACGAGACGGCACGGGGCGGGACGGGGGTACCCCTCTTATACTGGATGAACTGGTGTGGCTGGCTCCCTGTGACAGGGAGGAGTGGGATGACTGAGGTCCCGCGTATGGCGAGGCTGTTGTGAGTGGTGCCGCTGTGATTTGGGGGGAGTTCGATGTGAATGGACCCTCTTTTATTTGGGGGGACTGGGATGACCCTCTGGTCATCCTGGTATCTGGAGTCTGGTGTGACTGGATCCCTGTCTTTCGGGGGATACTTGGGTCTCTAGAGGTCCCTCTTATTCAGGGTGTTGGGGGGGGACTGGGATGACCAGACTTCCCTGTTATTTGGGGCGTCTGATGTGACTGGTCTCCTGTTATTTAGCAGGGATGGGGATGACTAGACCCCCTTTTTGTTTAGGGGGGTCTGGTGTGACTGGATCCCCTGTTTGAAGGGGACTGGGATGACCAGAGGCCTCTGTTATTTGGGGGGTCTGGTGTGACTGAGCACCCTGTTACTGGGGGGACTGGTGTGACCAGGACCCCCTGTACGGGGGGGCTGGCATGAGTGGCCCCCTGTAATTTGGGGTACCCCAATCATACCTGGCTCCCTGGGGTCTGTGGGGCAGGGGGCTGACCAGCACCCCGTGGTGGGGCTGAGAAGGGGGTGTGAGGCAGGGTGGGCAGCCAGGGAGGGAGGTGATGTCTGCCCTGTCTCCGTTCCACAGCACTGAAGGGTTGCTCAGACTTACCCAACCTCGGGCTGTTGCTGGTTAAAAGCCTTTAATGAGCTTAATTTTCTGGCACTTCCCTGTAGAACGTTATTCCCAGCATTTAACTGACACCTTTGCTGCAGGCTGGGCTGCTTAGCTGTTGTTCCACCTATTTAACTTTATAAGCTGCTGGGGTGTGGGAAGACTCTTTGCTCCTGTCTTTTCCTGATGAAATTGCTTGGGAGAGTAAAGTTACTCACTTAGGGAATGTACTTGTTAAAGGAAATAATGGAAAACCCCCTGTATGGGAATATTAAGGCTGGAGGGGGTGAAGACACCTGGATGACGGTTTTGGGAGTTAGTCATCAGTGTAGAGTTAGTTCTTAGGAAGTTGTCTTACAGGAGTAAGCACTGCTGGTGGAACGTGTGTTATTCTGTCAGTGTTTAGACCTTGGGTTACCTTTCAGAGTGTAAAAGAAATAGGAATGCTTAGTGGAATGTGTACGGAGAAGAGGGATCACTGAGGCTTTCTGATGTGAGTCTGAAAAAAGTGAAATTTGGGTTTGTACCTCTACAGCTCCTTTTAAAAAGCAGAAACATACATCCAGTTGAGAAGCTGGAAAAGCACAAGGAAGGGTCAGGTCTCTGTTTCTGAATTCTGGAAGTGCCTCAGTGATAGCGTTGGTGGGGACATCCCCTCTTACACAGAGCTCTACACTCTGTGTGGGCTGTCGAGAGGAGCTGTGGGGTTTCATGTGTCTTGTTAGGCAGCAGAGCTGTGCTGACTGGGGTGCAGGGATGCACACATCCCTTTTGCCTGGGGCTTTCTTCCAGTATTTCTCTGATTCTCTGAGAAATCCCGATATGCAAAGTACCTTGGTGATTAACGTGCTGCAGATGAGGAAATCAGTGTTTTGTCTGGGAAGGGCTGGTGAGCCAGACCCTTCCTGGAGGACCCAGCATTGTCCCAGCACAGGTTTTTCTTCAGGTGCATCATGTGCTGGTTGACTGCACTGAACCAGGGTGTGCACGGCATGGAGTGTGTCTGAGTGTTGTATGTGGATGTGATGGTGCATGAGAACTCATTTGCAAAACAGGTTTCTGTAAAACAGGGAGGATACAGGTGCTACAGGAAGAAACACCAACTGACACAACTGAGTGCTTTCTTTTAATCTTCAGGTGTGAAAGCCTTGGAGAGTGAGGTGAAGAGTGGGCAGGATGGAGAGGGTAGTGTCATACTTAACCCTCTGTTAATTAGTCCTGCTCTGTTTGTGACAGAGAAAAATCTCTTGCTTGTCATCACTGTGCAGGTGCTTCTTGTTCAGTCAACAATCTCTGGGGTGGTGCCTTGTGGGCAGCCAGGGTTGAGCAAGTAAGTGCCTTCTGCAACTTTTATTTTGTTTCTTCCAGAGCAGCTGGAGCAGCTCGACGGGCCCACAGGACCAGAACTTGTCTTGTCTCGGGGGAGGCTTTCCCTGCTGCTCTCCACCCTTTGTGCTGGAGCTCACAGGCCCCATCAGCACTTGCTTGCAGATACATAAGTGCAAGGTAACCCCTTTCTTTTGGCTGTCAAAGGTTGTGGAGTGTCTGTGGGTGCAGTTGGGTTTGGTAGGGTGGCTGGCAGTGGGTGCTGGGAGTGATGGTTTCTTCACCCAGTTCACCCTCAGCAAAAGCAACATGTGAAACTTTGTCTGACTGAAATCCCATTTGATCTTTGCTCTCTCCTTTACCTGTTGTGATGCAGCAAAGATTATGTGTTTGCTCAGTTCTGATGGACTAGGGAAAAGGCTTC